AAACCTAATAGAAAATATTTGGAAGATCGTGAAGGACAACATTCAGAACTGTGAAGACTTCCCAAGGGATAAACTTGCGCTTAAAGCGGCCCTAACAGAGGCCTTGTCAAATTTGGATACATCAGTTCTTCGTGTAGTTTCAGACTCAATGACACGAAGAACCGAGGCTATTGCAGATGTAAAGAGTCACTCATCAATGTATTAAATAAATGAAAAAATTTTTTTTGATGTATATGCGACCAAAATTAAATAAATAAAAATTTTATGTTTTGGGCGAAAATCGGGCGTTACTTTTGTTGGCTACTGTACGTACAAAAATTTGGGAAAATTTAGAAAAATATAGAAAATTTAAAAAACATAATAAGATCACATAAGCGGTGCAAAAACACAATAGGTGCGTTTAATAATAAATGAAAAACATATATAAACAAAACATGTTTATTATTATTATTTCTAGATATGATAACGTAATTTCCAACCGAGCGGCTTTGCCGCCCATATGTGCGACTTCTAGTTATAAACAATTAAAGCCACGATGGTTGAAAATCGACAGCCTATAATAATACGTAATGATGCGTCTAAATTTACTTTGTTCGCTTTCTGGAACACACTGTATCTTTGCACACGCGGCCATTCACATACGTACGCAAGAAGATATATGCTAATTACAATGTTGACATGACAAATAGTTGATACATGATTTATAATTATGATGTCGACGATGTCTGTTTTGAGAGGCTATGCGTACTGTTTGTCATAAATAAGTAATAATATAAATGAATTTTTTTTCATTCTTGCACTGCCATCCATCAATTTTTTTTATCCCAATTGTATAAACGGTAGCTGATTTTCGTTAACATTAATGCTATCATGTTCATAACATTGTTATTCTGTTTGATTAGATTGTGCCACAATAAATATTATGCGACATGTTATCGTTAAATTCTATAATCAAATATGAGCCAGGACTGTTTTTTTTCCTAGAAAAATGAGTGAAGAAGAGGACGAGTTGAAAGAAATAATACCGATACCATTATTATCAGGAGATGGAGAGAGAGAAGTTAAAATTACCATTAAAGAAGATATTATCCCACACAATGGGGAAGAAATAACTCATATTGTTTGCTCACCGAATGTCAAATATGTCGCAACTTGGAGTAACGATGATAAATCAATTTGCGGGTGGTCAGTTATAGAAAGACAGCATCAACTCAACTTTGACAACTCACTTACTCGTCAGGATCTTAGCAGTTTACCGATTCGTATTACTACGGGTGATCTTAAGAATGTTCCAACTCATGTCATCAATTACGTTGACGACTTTAAGGTTAACTACTCTTTAATAGATGTCTCTGATCATAAACATGTTATTTTCGGATGTCAGAGATTTTGTTATGTTGGCAAGTTTAATCATTATTTTAATTATTATTAAAGATGTGTATATTTTAGCAAATTAAAAAATTATTTGTATTTTTTAAACCAACAGAAGAATACAAGGATACCTTTTATTTTGATGAGATATACGGAATCATCGATCTAAAAACAAAATTACTGCAAAAATTTGAAGTTCAAGGTTTAAGCGCGCTTTCTGCTTATGAAGCCATTTGTTTTCTTGAAAATGGAAATTTAGTCATTGTCAAAGGAAATCCTATTTATCGAGTTCACATCTTTTCATTCACCGCCTCTAATGGTTATCGTCAGTGGGAGTGCATAAATGTTATCAGTCTTGAAAATTTCTACAAGTGTTTCGTTCTTCCAAAAGGAAAGATACTATTTCTCTCAGAGATACCTTTTGTAATTACACAATGGGATTTGGAATCCCTAAAATTTGAGGCTCAATATGTATTAGATTTGAATATGTTTAAAGATAAAGATTATATAGATCTGCAATTGAATTTTGACAACACATTATTAGCTGTATTCAATCGAAAGCAGGACGCTGTTAATATTTATTCAACTAGTTCAAGTATAATGCTATCAAAACGTAAGCAATTTTTTTATAGTCTCTGTAAATAATTACCATAGATTCTATTATAATGTTTTTTTTCAACTTTTTTAATATTCAGACGTATTCGAGGATATTCATACGTATGGCATAATTGGTGTAAATTTTATTTCATCAGAGGTGCAAGAACGCATACTTGTTAAATTTTATAAAATTTCTTACATTATGGTTCCACACTCTTGCGATAATCCTATAGATGCAAGGAAATTATTTCAACTTAGATTAGACAGCGAATTGAATAGCCAAGATGCACCAGAAAAATTCCTGTATCCTAATGTTGTCATCTCTGATTTTATTGTGGGTGTCTGGGACAATAAGTTATGGATTCAAACTTTGGTCCGCGAGACTAAAGAATGGACTGAATATTTACGTGAAGAGCTCCATGACTACAATAGAATTCAAATACAATTTTGTGCTGAAGAAATAGAACTGATGATGGAAGACACTTTGGTAAAGGCTAAAATTTATTTAAATTATAATGAAACCAGAGTAATTAAAAAAAAAAGCTATTATAATGGATACTTATATACTTGGATTGTTGAGGAAACTGATGATAATACTTTTCTAACAGCATGGATGTTTGATCATAAAGCTTTAGCATGGAGCAAAGTTGGAAATAAAATACAGACTTTTTTATCTGACATTAAACTACTTACTAGTGAAGATATAGTGGCAATTTCACCAAAAGGACTATTTGTTTGGACAGTAGTTAAGGGTCATGGAATCAAGTTACTTTATTATTGGGGTTCAGTTAAAATCGCTAAACCCAATGCATATTATTATGAATTAGTCATTGACCAAATTGAGTTTCTTAACGATAAATTGGTGTTTTCTAAAAACGCTCTACCTCCTCCAAGCTTCAGTCAACTAATTTCTCATCCATCGCATGAGTGTTATATGGATATGAGTACTAGATCAGGGTTTTCATTTGAAGATTTATTAGAATATTACATGAATGATATGTTTTTTTTATCATTATATGGAATGGTTCTAATCCAAAAATTAATTCGAAAAAGAGATTTTGATAAAGTTGTGAGAGTATTTAATTATTCTCTTGAACAAGCTTTATTATCGATTAAGGATGGAAATATTTACACATTCACTGAATTAATTGACAACATTTCTGCCTTGCTTGTAAAATTAGAATTCTTAGATGAAAATTTTGGATTTTCCGATCGATTTTTATCAAAAACCGCATTATTGCTTCCTGATTATTTTGAAGAGGTGTTTTTAAGTAATAATTCACATTCGTCCCATCTTATGTTTTGTGGGACTTACATGAATTTATCTCAAACTTCCACTTTAGATTATTTATCTTATTGGATTTCCACTCGTTGGAAAATTTTTAAAATTAAATTTCCTCATATAAATATAATTATTAATTTTTTTTATTCGACTTATTTTATTTCATATCCTCGAAAAACTGTTAAATTAATGGTTCCTACTGCAAACTTTGCTACATATTCTAACGATTATTATATTTGGAAAGAATTGTTATTTCCACCAAATAATTTTTTTACTTCTTTAAATTCTCCTGACCAATTTAGATGGTGGAATATTAAAGCTTTGATTAAGTTCAAGTGGGAAACATATGGGAGATCATATTATTATGCGATATGGGCTCTTTATTCGATATATATGTTATGTTTTACTTTTATAACGACTATACCAGAAAGTGCAATATCTTGGACTAATCATCAAGTTTTTCGAGCATTATCAATTATTCTTGGTTCCTTTTTTCTCACTTTTGAAATTCGTCAATTATTATATAATCCTGATATTTATCTTTATAGTTTTTGGAATTGGATCGGTATATATAATTATGTACAATTAAATATAATTTATAAATTTTATTAGCTTCCGATATATTAATATAATTTACCTTTCTTTGAATTTACACTAGATATTGCCGCATTATCTTTTCCAACCATCATCTCAATTTTATGGATGCTCGATAAAGATGCTCCAGTTTGGTTCCTTACTATAACTGTCCTTTTACTTGAGCTCAAATTTTTATTTTACCTTCGAGCTATTGATTATTTCGGAACTTATTTCGCAATTATGATTGGCGTGGCACAAAGAATTTTTTCATTTATCGCGGTTCTAGGAATTATTGTTTTTGCTTTTGCGCATTCTTTGCATATCTTATTAAGGCCGACTTCTGATTATTCTTATGACCAAGCAAGTTATACTGATGATGTTAATAATCCTTGGAATCTTGCTGCGAGATATCAATCTATTTTACCTAATGGTACAATTGAAAATGAGTCATCTCTTATTGAAACTCCCGATGCAAACATAAACATGTTTGCTCAATTTAGTACAGCTATTGTTGCTGTTTATTTCATGTTAACAGGTATTATTATTTTTGTTGTATTAATAAATATATAATACTGTATATTGTTTAAATTTAAATAATTTTATTAGGAGATTCAAGTTCAATTTCATCTTGGGTTTGGAAAGATAATTGGACATTAGTCTTTTTGTTGGCCATATTTTCTTTTTTTACAACAATTTATTTGATGAATTTGTTTATTGGATTACTTGGCATGGCTATTGATGAAACGAATAATGTTGAATCATTCCTTCATTTAAAAGGAGAGGTACTTTCAAAAAAAATTGAGCTTAATCTTTTTATTACCATATTAAAAATAAAAGTTTTTATATTTATTTTTATTAGATATTGGCTGAAATTGAACTTTTTTGGATGCTACCCTATCAAAGAAGAAAGAAAAATTGGTTTCCCGATATTTTGTAATTGCTACTCAAATCTTTTTTTTTTTTTTAAGTTATAATTATGATTTAATTAATTGTTTAAAGTATTTTAGATATTATGAAGCTTCGATTGAAGAACTTCAAAATTTTGTTAAAAAAGCACAAGATGAAAGCGAAGATACATTCCCACCGCATTTGTCTGCCTCAATTCTTGAAATTTCACAAGTTGATAAACCAATTGAAGTAACAGCTAGAGAAATTGGAATTAAAATCGATAAATATGAAGAAAAACTCAACAAAATCCTTGATGCTCTTGAAAAGTTAAATTCAAATCACCAAGGCTAATACTGTATTGACTTGTATTGACTAAGTTTAAACATTTATTACTATTAGTATATTTGTCTTATAATATCAATATAATATATAAAATTTGTAATTGTGTTAATTACAGTCGTACTTATAAACAACTTCTATATAAACATATAATATAAAATTTTATAAGCACGTTCATTTGTTGAGTCAGCACTATTAAATATACAGTACACCTCTCAAATCCGATAGGCATGCTGGATTTCCAATGGCAACTACCCTGCGTCACGCGTATACTTATCTCTGCAAGTAATACAAATCTAAAAAAGGATATTTTTCTATGTAGATCGCAAAATCAGGTATAACGTGCAATCTTTATCAAAGCATCGCCGGTAATTCACAATTTTTCCTAAGAAAAATCACTTTTTACGTTCTAATAAAAAAAATTCCTGGCCAAATTTTACTATACGACGTTTCTTATACCAACCTTAACCCTAACTAGGGTGCGGGACGGGCCGGGCTCAAATCGGGTTTGTTAAATATCGGGCCGGGCTCAGGCTTCATAAGAAAGTCCGATCAGGCCCGATAATGCCCAGTGAACTTATAGTCAAAAACATTGGTTCTTGTAACAATTTAAGGCTAAAGAGAATAAATGGTAAAATTATTACACTATGTATATTAACAATCATTACAAAAACTTGCATAAGTTC